AGCTGATCACAGTTATTGTTTGTGAAACAAATAGCTGATCACAGTTAGTGTTTGTAAAACAAAGAGCTGATTATAGTTATAGTTTGTCAAACAAAGAGCTGATCACAGTTATTGTTTGTCAAACAAAGAGCTGATCATAATTATTGTTTGTCAAACAAAGAACCGACAATTGCTCAACAGGAAAATATTCGATGATATTTTTTACAAAAATCATTTAAAGAACGTCACGAGGAAAACTAACATGGTCAGATAAATAAGATGGTAACAAATATTTCGAGATCTTCCAGCAACCATTCACAAAAGGCTATTTGCGCATAGCCATCCTCAATTTTCAACTTTGGGAGAAGAAAAAATGCAGTAGTTAATATCACCCACCGCCAACTGTTTTGTTTTACACATGACTAATCGAAGAGTATGATTTGGTTGCACCCACGGCCCTAAAATACGGAACGACATCCACGAATCCTTGGATTCACAGTCTTGTTACTCTAACTACAAAACCACGCCCAGCCATATTATGATGAAAAACAGGCACAACTTAGCATAGAATTGGATAAAAACTAGTTTTTTAGGTTAAAATGAATAATAACGTTAGCCTTAAGAGGGTTATGACAAACAAGAACACTTACTGCACGATGGTTACACTCAACAAGAAAACAACTTACCCTGTGAGGGTTACTCACGAGATGTTTCTCAACAGCTTCCCTGCTGTTCGATAGTTGATCCAATTCCAGTTTATAAATTCGATACAGATCGGCCAGTTCTCGAGTAGTTTTTCCTAAGTTGAACGTTAAAGCCATCTATTGATACCATTGCACATTAAAAGATAATGTGAAACAGGCAATTAAATACGTAACTCCGACAGAGGATATTTTTATCCACACATGTTTAATGGATAATCAAAAATCAAGTAAACTTTGTTAGCTATAACTCAGGGTGAACGAACAGTCTGGAATCATACAGAATGTGTTTCACATGCTGTCCTTGTAATTCGAAACAAATTTGGATTAACAGCAGGATTAACTCATCCTTCTTACGCTCCATAATCAGTCACCTACCTGAAATTACTAAAATTACAAGTCACCTGTGGTTCCAGACTTTTCTGACACCCTGCATAGCAGTTCATCGTATGTTGTGAAAATGTATTGATATTTTCTTGTGCGTTTAACAGGTCAACAAAACATTCATCTTGTTTAGGGACGCAAAGTTCCGTCTTTCGGTTTTATGGCTGAATCAATTCGTTAATAATTAACAAAGTTGCATTAATTAAATAACGTTAAGGTGATTTCAACTATATTCACGAGTAGTCCGATCGTTTTATTGTTGTAACCAATATGTACTTAATTCTCGTCGTCTCAAATGGTTCAGGTTTTTATTAAGAAATAAAAAAAATAGTTCCTTCTGGATAATAGTTAGTTACCATGTTCTGTTCCCCCGGAGCTGAGAGCTGAAAGAAAACACAACACAATCAGATCAGTTATAAGTGCAAGCAAAAACTTTACACTTGAAATAATTCTCGAATAAGATAGAGAAGGATCTGTTTGTTTGTTTCAGAATTTCGCGCAAAGTTACAGAGACGACTATCTGTGCAGTGTCGTCGCTAATTTTGTATTGGTGGAACAGAAGGAAGACAGCTGGGCAACAACACCCGCTAATATCTGTTATGTTACACTTGTCTGATCGAACATAGGGATTTGACAGGTACTCTTATAACACACCCACGGTTCTAAAATGTTGAGCATTGTGACAAGAGGATTCACGGTTCGGGCACACTAACCGATGGGCCACGCCTAGCCCTGGAAATAAGCGACATGAATAGTAATAATCCTTGAATAAACACGATTACTCGAATGCGGGGTTTAAAAAAATATTAAAAGTGTTAAAATGTAGTTATTATTATTATCATTACAACAAAACGTTACAATTGGTATTCTTATTACCACGAAGCTCTATCGATTGAATCTTGTATGTTTACTACAATTATTAGACAATGCAGAAAACAGAGAATAACACAAAAAATACAAAACATTTATTATTCAGTAACAATAAAAAAAATAATTTACTAACATTTCATACACATACATATATATATACATACATATAATATACGATATATAGTAAAATCGAAAGATGCACATGTACTGCAGGAGTCACACGCAAAGAGTTATGGGAAATGGATGGCGAATTTATTAACTGCACAGAAAATATAAAAGAAAAATAAATGGGTAGTACATTAATCTAGTTTTTTTTACATGTGAGCCCTCTGTTGGTCTAAATGTCATCTATTACTCCTCACAATTCTGCCACGTTTTTTTTTTTACCTTCTCATTCTTGACCCATAAAAGCTTTTGAGAGTTGTTAGTTGCTTAATTTAAAATTACATTTACAAACAATTTCCAAGTTTTTATTACTCTTATAACAATATTGTTGCCCGGCATGGTCAGGTGATTAGGGCGCTCAACTCGCAATCTGAGGGTCGCAGGTTCGAATCCCCGTCACACCAAACATGCTCGCCCTTTCAGCCGTGGGGGCGTTAAAATGTTACGGTCAATCCCATTATTCGTTGGTAAAAGAGTAGCCCAAGAGTTGGCGGTGGGTTTTCATGACTAGCTGCTTTCCCTCTAGTCTTACACTGCTAAATTAGACATGGCTAGCGCAGATAGCCCTCGTGTAGCTTTGCGCGAAATTAAAAAACAAACAAACAAACAATATTGTTATTTATTATTATAACGTTGTTTTTTTTTTTACTTTTCTTACAGTTTTGAATAGCAGGCTTCAATAGATATTATAGCTACCCTTGAAAATTATTGTTGTTATGGTCAATTTTGTATATTTTATAAGCATTGTCTCTGTCATAAATTAATACTTTTATTTCAGGCTCCCAGTGACTCGGCGGAAAGACTAAAGACACGGCAGAGATAGCCCCTTATGTACCTTTGTGCTTAACATCAACCAAGACCTTTTGTGTCCAGTTCTTATCTATTTTACGACATAACATAGCATTTTGGGACAACAAGGGACCTATTGGTCCATCTCGGCTGTTC